GAGAGCCCATATACGCCCGTTAACATTCTTTTGATTTGGGAAGAAACATTTGTCAAGTCTTCGGGTCTTTTTTTATTTTGTGTGCCTGTCTTATTGGTTCAGGACGAACTAAAATGGTTATATTACATAACATTGTACAAAATATTGTATTAGAATGTTAAATAGGCCTTCTCCAATAATGTTACGTGTTAGAAGAATGGAAGTGGAATGAATTGCTACGATAGAGTCGGATATTGCATTATGTTATAAAATAATCTACGGTCTATTTTTTAATTTTGCTTATATTTATTGAATCATAAAAGTTTAAATAATATATTCCATTTTAAACGTAATTATCATGCGAACCTTTTCCTCCCACTTCCGTATCATCATTGGAACACTGTACGCCCGGCGCCGCGTTGGGCACTGCCTTTGCTCGGTCTTTCCGTTCGGAGCAGGAGAGCAGTTTTTGACGACACAGAGCATTGTGTTGGTAAAAACTGCTCTAGTGACCAAGTCGTTGTTAACCCTAAGTGAGCGCTGCTCAGCGTGGCTTTACCTCTAATGCCCGTCGGTTCACTGCCGATCAGTTTTGAACCTGTCGAGTTGGTTCTTTTTGATTATCTTCCGGATATTCTGTTTAGGAATTTGAGCTTGAGAGAATACAGGCAGGTTTACGTCAATTAAATAAAATATTCTGAATCCATGACACAAAGTCATGTATTCTCCGATAAAAAATAAATGATTTGAACAATGTAACATTGAAGTACACGAGCAAAAGTGAGTATCGCGTTCATGAACGAACGCGAATGTCGCGTTAGTTAGAATGTCTCAGCCATATTAATAAATGTTAAAAAATCTTCCTTTTAATTTTAATTCTAAATTCAGGTCGTGATGTCCCAGAAGCACTACATTTAACTTCTCGCGCGCGTGGACCAACATCAAGAATCATTATTTTTCGTGCTGAGCGAGATATCTGAGTTCGCTTCAGTATCAAGGGACGGTAAAACACAGTGCCGGCGCTACGCATGGGCAGACCGGGCAATCGCCACTCAGTGGCTGATTTCTTTCATCTAGCGGTATTAAAATATTTTCAAGAGAACGGTAAAGCCGTCGGTGTTGAAAATGGTCAAAATTTTTCCTTGTGCCATTTTCCATTGTACTGTAATGTAGTGAAAAATACAATAATAATATATTGCCCTCCAGTCTTGATAAGGATTACCAGGTTATCAATGTTGTAATTGCTTAAGAGATAGTGCATGCAATTGCCTACTTCTATTAAAGATTCATCAGGCACTAAATCAAAATGGTAATATTCGGAATCTAATTTATACCTAATTGCGCAAATAAAATTATAAAAAATTAAGAACAAAGCAAAGTTACAATAGTTGACATTAGTCGTTCTCTGTTGTAGCTGTTCAGTTTTCTTAATTAGTAGTGGCCGGATGCTTGTTATTACTGGACCGGGAGAAATCAATAAGATATGAAGAGATCTTTATTAGACCCCCAGGTGCGCCCGGGGCTACGTCAAGGGGCCCGTCGAAGGGACTGATGGGAAAAATAGTAAACAAATTGAAAAAGAAATTAGAACTTGAGAAAATCGTTATCGTAATTTTATGTCTTTGTAGAGGAGTCTGATATTTCATAAAAGTTTCAATTAATTTTTTATCTCAAATGTAATTGTAGTCATTAGTTATAAGGAAGGACTGTATTAAATTTATGAAGCTAACATTAAAATAGGATCTACTGAAATTCATATTTATTATTTCATTTATTTAAATAGTGATTTTATTAAACGCCAACTAACCACAACTAATTTTCTTGGTGATTTAATATCACTGTGGAAATTGTATTTTTTTATCACTAAATACTTTCACTTACAAGTATTTAAAATATATTTCCAAAATCTTTTTCTAGTTCAATCGTTGTAATTTCTGTTATTTGTTGAAATAAAATAACTCAAAGATTTTTACATAAAAAGATATCTATTTTAATAAATCAGTTCTTTTTTGAAAGTCATGTACAAGTTTTTGAAAAAACGATTCTCGTAATTTCTGCTTGAAAATAAAATAAGTTACATAAAGAACGTTTTCTCAAAAACCGCTTCATTTGTTCTTTAACTTTTTCTCATGAATAAAACTAGGGTCCTTTAAAACAATGATGAAGGATTCATTTTCGTTGAATTCAGTGAGTTTTCGAAAATTGCGTATTGGAAACATTGGATAGTGACTATTAGTTTTAAAGCGTAGGCTCGACCTACTGCGTCAGATAGTTTCTATGACGTAGAGGTAAAGTGCACTCGGCGGACCTATGTTCCAGTCTCAGTGCGTAACGAAATTCCTGCTAGTAGAAGACTTTTTTGCATCTTCATGTAGTAGAATAATATTGCGGATCATGCGGGAAAGTGTGATGTTGTACCGTCACTTATTCGAACATGTAAGTTGTTTTCGCGTAATTTTGTGTGAAATATGGAGAATTTTTAAACAAATGTTTTAAGTGGATGCAAACACCGAGACGGACGCCAGGTAAATCATCACGACAGGTAATGTAACATGCACCCACACAGACACCCGGACAGACCAGGACTTCCGAACAGGTTCTCGGACTGCCACTCGACCTAACATCTGAAGAGACTCGGACAGGCACCCGGACAGTCACCTGGACAGACACCCGGACAGGCTCCCGGACGGACACCCGGACTGACACTCGGACTGACATCTGGTTTATCCTCCGGACTGCCACCTGGATTGCCACTCAAACTGCCACTTGGACTGACGCCCATATCACCGCTCGCCGAAAGTTATCGGAGTTCAGTGGTGAACGCCGGCCAGCTGCCGGAACTCCTGGGAGTTGCGGCGCGCTGGCTACACTCGCTGGTTGTCCGTCGAGTCGTGGGTTTGGAGCGTGGGTTGATAAGATTCAAAACTCTTATAGTACTTTTTGATTGCGAAGGGGTTTGTGAGGCCCGCTGAATGAGATAGAGGGACAAAAGACACCCGAATAAATGTGGAAAATTTCAGGAAAAAAATGTCAGCTACAGGAACAAGTAACCCTCTACATAACCTCAAATATATTAGTTTATGAAATGTTTAAAGTTTCATTGAGTGAAACATTAATCTATCAAATCAATAGAAACTAAACAAAAATACGATCTCAGAAGCATTTACCAATCTATGAGTGTACATAATCGAATTCAAATTTAAGAAATATATCTCCCATAATTGATGAATTGGACGATCATTCAGTGCATTACCTTGTATTAGCACGTTAATGCAATTGAATAGCGTTATGCTATTCATATAAGCCGTGCATTTTCTTCTTGGCTGTCACTGGAAATAATTTTAATAAATGCATGGGCCGTTGTATCCTCTCTATCTCGCACACGCATGGAAGTGAAGTGCTAGGAAGAACTGATAGATCTCGACACTGTCGTATCGGCGTCCAATGTGTCCGCCCTCGCTGGTTGAGCAGTACCGCTTTTCAGCAGCGGACGCAGGCGCCGACGTGCCAGCGTTCTACATGTTTGTACCTAGTGGCCTCGGAGAAGCCGAGACAGAAGACTTATCAGACGAGTCCAGTCAGATGACCTACACAGGCCTAGACAAGGACACACAGACAGTCACAGATCCAGTTAGAAACAGGCAAGAAAAAACAAGTCTAAAACACGCCCGAAGACTCATCCAGAGTCACATTCAGAGCCATAGGAAGAGACATAGTCAGAGACAATCAGAGCCACAGTCAGAGACTCAGAGATAGTAAAACACTTACAGTTAAATACTGTAAGACTCTGACAATGGCCATGAGACACTGTCGGTGAGCTACAGACGAAGACAATCAGACACTGAGCGCACGAGGCAGAGAAAACGACTTAGAAACAGTCAGAAACTGTCAGAGTTATTCACATACAGTCAGAGACAGACAGTCGAGAAACTACAAAGGCTCGGAGATAGACAGCCGGAGATCGACAGTCGGAGTCGCCAATCGGAGACTTGTTACAGTCGGCCAATCGGAATCGGCCAGATGGACTATCGGTGTCGAGCACCTGGAGTAGGAAGAGTTGGAGAGGCACTGTGGAAGGCGATAGTTGGGAAAGGAGTATTCGCACTCTCACACATATATTGAGATTTCAAGACTGAGATTTCATGTCTGAGATGTCAATTCTGACTCTTCAAATATGCGATTTGAAGTCTTATAGAAGTCTCAGACTAAAAGACTGAGGATAAAAGACTGAGACTAAAAGACTAAGACTTAAAAGACTAGAAGACTAGATAAAGACTAAGACTAAAAGACTAAGACTAAAGATAAGACTAAAGACCTAAAAGACTAAGACTGAAAAGACTAAGACTAAAAGACTAAGACTAAAAGACAGCTAAAAGACTAAAAGAACTAGACTAAAAGACTAAGACTTAAAGAGACTAAGACTAAAAAAGACTAAGACTAAAAGGACTAAGACTAAAAGACTAAGACTAAAAGACTAAGACTAAAAGACTAAGGACTAAAAGACTAAGGACTAAAAGACTAAGACTAAAGGGACTAAGACTTAAAAGGACTAAGACTAAAAAGACTAAGACTAAAAGACTAAGACTAAAGACTAAGACTAAAAGAACTTAAGACTAAAAGACTAAGGACTAAAAGACTAAGACTAAAAGACTAAGACTAAAAGACTAAGGACTAAAAGACTAAGACTAAAAAGACTAAGACTAAAAGACTAAGACAAAAGACTAAGACTAAAAAGACTAGACTAAAAGACTAAGACAAAAAACTTAAGACTTAAAAGACTTTTAAGACTAAAAGGACTAAGACTAAAAGGACTAAGACTAAAAGACTAAGACTAAAAGACTAAGACTAAAAGACTAAGACTAAAAGACTAAGACTAAAAGACTAAGACTAAAAGACTTAAGGACTAAAAGACTGAAGACTAAAAGGAAGACTAAAAGACTAAGACTAAAAGACTGAGACTAAAAGACTGAGACTAAAAGACAGACATTCGCAGAGGAAATGTGGGATCTGCGGAGAACCTCATGTTAGTGAGTGATTTCTTAGTAAGGTCATGTATCAAATGGGCGGTCAGTGAGTGCTATACTCACAGTGACAACAAGGCAATCCTCTGCGAAGTGCATGAAACTGGTCCAGTTGGAAGATTCAAGAAGCGGAGGAATGAAGGATGGACAGCAACCGAATTTGATGCAGATGCGTCAGTATCATACTAGGGGAAGATGTTGATGTAACAGGTACACCCAACAACAAAGCCCTACAATTGATGGACCATATCCCTAAAGGATGTGATGCCGCGATGACTATAAGAGCGGGAAAGTCCTACCTCTGTCCAATATACCAGTGGAACGACAGCTAAGACAAAATGCCTCCAAGCGAGAGGTTACACCAAGCACGAGGAAGAGAATCCGAGGTTGTCTGGCGCCAACAATACGGAGATGCCTGGCGCAACCTAAAAAGATCCATCAAGGACAGCGAACGCGGAAGCAGGGCCGAGCTGTGCAATGAAGTGAATGATGGGAACACTGCAGAATTGTAATGGGCGAAATGAGGAAGCCGCATGTATCTGACTGCGCAACCAATCTATCTATCTATCTTCATAGAATAGACATCACACTCTTCGCACAAGGGAGACTTCTAAGGGAGACTCCTGAAGCTCGAGACGAGACCCACGGGCAACGATTACGAGATACCTTCGGTTTCTCGGAGTTAGAGTTGAGGAAGAACTCGCTTGTTAAAGGGTGGGGATTCCAATGAGGGAAGTCCTATGAAGCCTTTTAATAATGTTAACCCCTTAATGCACCAGTTACTAAGCGGGTGCTACCTTAATTCAACCAACACTTAAAAAATTAAAGTGTTTATCGAGACAAAATCATTTTTCAAATTGTGTCAACCCGAAACGATTTTAATGAACCAATATTTTAGCTGAAAACCTATTAACATAAGTTATGTCACGATGTTAAGGAAAAAACCGCAGGGGACTATGATTTATCCTATGTGATGCCCTAAAGCACAAGACATTAGTTAACACTGGCGATAGGCAAAAAATAATTCGAGCATTCTAGGATTTTTTAGTTTCCATAAGGCATGGTTTGTATTCAGCGTTCATTCCGTAGTTATAACAAATAGCAAAAATGAATTTTAGTAGATTTAATCGATTAAATGAATAGTACACAAAACACACTTGGTGCTGTTGAAATACACTAGTGCAAGGCGATTTATCTCAACCGACAGTTTTACCGAAAAAGCAAACAAATGATGCTACGCCCAGCCCCGTGGGCAGACGCCGTGCAGCAGGTGTCAGTGTCGCGGGAGCAGGTTTGAATTTCACGCCCAGAAGTAACTTTTATACTCAATTTTACTGAAGACAACGTCATCAAAGTATCTGGGGTATTTTTTGAAACAGGAGCTTCTGGAGACCCTATATAT